GTTGCCACTGGAGCAGGCCTCTTAGCAACTTTCAGCAAATGACTTGTAGACCTCAAAGGAATCTTGCGCAAGTATTGACCCAAATTATGATCTTTGTTCATTGGCAATTCTTTGCCATAGACTTTGGCAAGCCATTCTTCACCCAGGTCAGCAGGTCTCCAAGGATAAGTTGCTAAAGAAGCAACTGGGCAAGTCAATCGTGTTGCCATGAACACCTTGGAAAAATCTTTGACCAGGTAATACAATGGCCAAGGCTCTGGTACAGGATTGCCCTTGCTGTCCATCCAATGAAGGACTATGGCAAGCGCTTGTGCCTTCACTTCTTCTTTCATAGAGACCAAGCCCATGAGCTTCATTCTACTGGCAATGATTTCAAAGACTTCTCTGTGCATCACTGCCTCCTGCAGCTTCTGCCAGTCTGTGGAAGTGAAATACATAGGCAAATGAGCAACTCCTTGTTGTGCTGCAGCCAACTTGACATTGGAAGCAGGGCCAGTGCAGGAATCCACACAATTGAGCAACTTGTCCTTTGTTTCAAGGCATAGTTTGCTGTCATCGATTGCATCCATGATCTTCAATGTAATTCCTGGTGTAAGAGTTGGAAGACACTTGAACTTACTTTCCATACTGGCAACCATTTTGTCAATGAGGGTCTTGCTCTTGCTTTTACTTTCCAATGCCTCCAAGTGGTTGATCTCCTGCACTAAGTCTTCGACCTTCCACTGCATCATTGTGAGACAAAATGTGGGAATCTCCGCAAGTGTGACCAAAATGGCCTTGAGCACCCAATATGGCTGTGCAAGACTTGCACATTGTAAAACAACCAGCAGTAGGATGTTGAAGGGCAAAAAACAGGAGCCAGTGAAGCTTGACAAGTGTGAAGCCACTGAGGCTTGCTGCAGAAACATTGGACTTGGAACAACTGAAGCCAGTGGGGCTTGAGGCCCAAATGCAAAGCCATTGAAGAATGACACTGTAAAGCCACAAAGGCTGAGATAGCAAAAGCCACTGAGGCTTGCTAACCTAAAGTGAGGCTTGCATTGAAGAAGCCAGTGAGGCTTGCATGGAAGAAGCCACTGAGGCTTGCTAACCTAAAGCTAGTGAGGCTTGCATTGAAGAAGCCACTCAGGCTTGTGCTTGAAGAAGCCACTCAGGCTTGCATTGAAAAAGCCATTGAGGCTTGCATTGAAGAAGCCACTGAGGCTTGCACTGAAGAAGCCACTGAGGCTTGCACTGAAGAAGCCACTGAGGCTTGCAATTCAGCACCCACAAAAGCATGCAAAGTATGAAAGAAACAACAGAAAGTGCAAGGCAAATGTCTTTTTCTTCCAGTCATATTGAGGCCAGTCAGCTGTAGGTGCGACTTCGGTCTACACCATTTGCACGAATGACAGCTTCGTGCTGCAGTAAGCAATCTGAGAAATTCTTATCTCGCATCAAGTTGCGAATGACATTGTGGGCACACTCAGCATCATTCCTGCGCACAGCTCCTGCCAGTGCCACCACCTTGTTCAGCAGTCCAGTCCTCGGTTTGACCACTGGACCAGGAGGCACTGGTGGCGGTGGCAATGGGGGTCCAGCTGTCGAAGCCGCACCACTTGGAGGTGGTTCCTTTGGAGGTGGCAGTGGAGGCAAACCACTTGGTGCTGCCACTCGAGAACCACTTGCCATTTTGTTCTTGGTCACTTTGACCTTCTGTTTCTTTGTAGGTGGTTCCATTGGCGCATCTTTAACTTCCACTGGCAGCCATGGAGTCCATTCACTTGGAGCTTGAGTGGGAGCATCCCTGGCTGCATCATACCATTCCTGTTCGCCAACCAATGTCTTCACATCATCATTTCCAGTCTCTGGCATTGGGACGTTTGTCTCATCGAAGACAGTCTTGTTGTCATCGTCCATAGGAATAGCCACTGGTGATGCCAAACCAGTGGCAGCAGGACTGCACTCTTCATCAGGTTCCAGTCCATAGTCTTGTGACACTGATGCCACTGCAGCCAGTGGAGCACGCCCCACTTCCTCCTCTTCCACCAATTCATACTCAACCACATTGGCACTGGACATGGCTGCAATGGGGTGACACTATTCCAATGCCAATGTTGTGCAAATGTGGTCCTGCTCCACTGGTAGTTGTTTTGTGGTGTTGCTCCAGTAGTAACAGCTGTCATATAATTGTATTGTGGTGTTGCTCGAGTAGTACTAGTAGTAGTAGTAGTAGTAGTAGTAGTAGTAGTAGCTGTCATGTATACTTACATAGTTTTCTCTACAATATGACAATGCAATGTTGATTGTACTGTGCATTAGCAGTGCACTTCTGGTGTTGAACACACTTGACAATAAAAGCACCCAAACAATATCAGTGAAGAACCAACAACACATACATCAAAGAAAGCCACTTAGGCTTGCAAAGGCAAAGCCATTGAAAGGCTTGGAATCAAAAGCAGTTTTAATGAATATACAAAACCAAAAAAAAAAGTAAAAAGTAAAAAAATCAAAAACAAAATGAAACAATAATTTAGGTTTGAAACCTGAAAGCATATAAGAATTATGACAAATTAACCAATAGTAGTCTAAGCCTAGGTAAAACAAACAGACAAAAACAAAATTGCCTATATTCAGCAGATGAATCTATGTACAGTAGCCTGAGTGCATAGATTCAGCATATGAATCTAGGCACAGAAGCATCAGTGCCTAGATTCAGCAGCTGAATTTAGGCACAGAAGCTTCAGTGCCTAGATTCAGCAGCTGAAACTAGGCACAAGAGACTCAGTGCTAGATTCAGCAGCTGAATCTACGCACAAGAGCCTCAGTGCCTAGATTCAGCAGCTGAATCTAGGCACAAGAGCCTCAGTGTCTAGATTCAGCAGCTGAATCTAGGCACAAGAGCCTCAGTGTCTAGATGCAGCTGCTGATTCTATGCACAGGTGATACAGTACATAGATTCAGCAGCTAAATTTAGGAACAAATGTATCAGGGCCAATACACTATTATAATACAAAGCCACTGGTAGGCTTGTAGTCTGAAACAAAGCCTCTAAGGCTTGCAGTCACCAAGAGATTGATAAAGCTTACACTACATTGCAACCCAAAGCCATTGGTAGGCTAAAGCAAAGCCAGTTAGGCTTGCAATCACAAAGCCATTGAGAAGGCTTGTAATACATTACAATCTAGCCATCCAGGGCTGAAACAAAAGCCACTTGGGCTTGCAGTCCCAAAGCCATTGACAAGGCTTGCAATACATTGCAACCACAATCAACAACCCTAGTCACCAATGACAATGAAACTAGTCTCTTTTGCATGCTCCTTTACTGCTTGCAATAAATCATTAAGACTTGCAAATACATTGCCAATTACAAACAACACAATTCATATCTGTACAATGCATCAATTATAATTTGAAAAGCCAATGACAGCTCATCGACTATTACCCCAATGATTTGAGGCCAGGTGCCAAATCCAATGCCCTTTGGCTAAAATAGGTTACACATTCTTCACAATCACAATCAAAATGATGCTGAGCATCACTACTCCAAGGAGGGACACCAGCACTAGGGTGAGATCTTACCTCCCAATGATCCCAAACAGAACTGCCAATGGAGCTTTCTTGTCCTCCTTGTTCTTCTTCTCCTTCAGTGGTCACTTCATCACTAACTTCATCAGCAATGGGTAGGCTGGCAGACATGGCTGTCAAACCAAAAGACTTCAGTGATGACAATACCCTTGAAGCTGGAACCAATAAAATTGCAAAGTACATATTAGTTAATCAAGTTTATTACTGATAGTCTGAACATAATGAAAGTCCATACAAAGGCTTGCACAGTAAAGCCAGTGAAGCTTGCTCACTAAAGTCATGAAAGACTTGATTGAAGAAGCCACTCAGGCTTGCACTGAAGAAGCCACTGAGGCTTGCACTGAAGAAGCCACTGAGGCTTGCAATTCAGCAGCCAAGAAAGCATGCAAAGTATGAAAGAAAAAA